TGTACACAATATAGACCCCAAAACAATAGTTAGGTATGATTTTTTTCTTTTGTTTGTTTGTATGTGCGCGTTTCACGCAAAAAGTTATGAACTGATTTCAACGAAATTTGGTAAAGTGATAACTTATTACTCGAGTCAACATTAAGGGTACCTTTTAGTTCAGGAAAATTTTTCATTCCCACGGGAACACACAACATTGGTTTTATCAAGTCATTCTTAGAAACCTTCCGCTGGACTCACTGCATATGTTACTCAGTAACTACTACTACAGCTATTAGTAGTAAAAAGAAATCGAGAATCAAAACAGTAGTTCAAGAGATTACTACGCACTCATAATGTTAAACATTATTCGGTATATCATTTTGTAATTGAAATAAATTAAAATTAAAATAAAACATTTAGTTATTTTGAAACAACACTAAACTTATATTTCATCGTCTTCTCTTAAAAGATGAAACGAAATAAGTAAAATGTATGGCGCAGCAAGCAATTTTCTTAATGAAAGTAAATATAATGCATTGTCTAAAGCTATATATTTATACGAGTATACGAGTATAGTAGTTCTTTTTAGATTTATGTTCTAATTTCTGACCTACATTCATGTTTACTTCCAGTACTTAATTCTTACTTATATATCCTAGTACATATTTATTATTTGATATTTATAGACTTAGATTTTTGTAGGATTTCTTTATATTCAACCGACTTCCTCAAAAAGGAGGAGGTTCTCAATTCAGCTGTATGTTTTTTTTTTATGTTTGTTACCTCAGAACTTCGTATTTTATTAACCGATTTGGACAATTTTTGTTTTGTTTGAAAGTGTATGCTTCCAGATTGGTCCATTTAAATTTCAAAAAAAATACCACCTCTAAGGGTAGAAAAATAGCTAATAATGAATTTAACCTACTTCTAATTGTCATATTGACTTGAAACTTTGCAAGTGTTTCTATTTCCGTTGATAGTACAGTGGTTCGGTATTGTTGACCTGATCTGATGGTAAGACCAGAAGGTGGATAGGTGCAACTCTTCAACGGATACTTTGAGTTTGGGCTTATTTTGTTTAATTTGACAAGCCTAACACGTTAAAATTCTTACTTTGCTACTGTCTACACTAAAAAGGGAAAAATAAAAACTTTTTAACAAAAAAATAAAAACCGACTTCAAATAAAAACACTAAAAATTAAAAAATAACAGATTGGTAGTTTTCATTTACTATTAGTACATACCTAATCAAATAATTTCGAAGTCGGTGCCAGTCGATATAAAGCAAAGCACACCGACTTCGAAAATATTTGATTAGGTATGTATAGTAAATGAAAACTACCAATTAGTTATTTTTTACTTTTTATTTGTTTTTGTTTAAAGGCGGTTTTTATCTTTTTGTTGAAAAGTTTTTATTTATACGAAGTTTGTACGCGAAGTTAGCTACCTTGGAATAATACCTGGACTGATTGGCGCCGCGGGTGCAACTTTTCAGTACAGCACAGGGTGTAATCTTTATATTTGGCACACTTCCATAGCCCAATTTAAATACTATTTATGGTACTAGTAGGTAATTGTAATATGTTAGAGAAATAAAATAAATAATGCTGAACTATTAATTATATGCAGGTATTTTTAACCTGTTCATAAGGAAACCAGTAAAAAGTATTAATATCCAAAAGTTTTTACAAAAAAATTTAGCAATAGTTCTTGGCAATACCAAACAGAAAGAAGAAATTGAAGCTTTATTAAATATGTCTATTAAAGAATTAACGAACTCGCTAAACCGTAACAAACTAGGGATGTTGTGATTGCTATTCGTTTTTATAAGGTATTATTTTTTAATAAATACTAATTTATTGATTGTTCTACTTAACCAGCTTACATAGAGTGAAACGGTTCGTTCTTAGATCATAAACAAATGTTAAAAATTGTTGAAAGAAAGTACAATTCAAGTACATAGTCATTGAAACATAAAAATAGATTCACTTATTACCCAGATGTCCCAGCTAAAGATTGCAGTAATATTTGTATAATATGATCTAAGGGAGTGGCAGTCACTCTACGTATGTTGCTCTGGTTGGTTACGGTTTATCGAGTTGGTTTCTTCTTAAATAGACTTCTTGTATAGTATTCGAGTTAAGCTATAAGTTTCATTACTGGCAAAAGTAAAAAAAATGTTAAAAAGCTGCATATCCCTTTACTTATTCATTGAAACTTATTTCTATATATTTCATGAAACTCGTTTCAAATAACAAGCTGGATATAGAATATAAAATTTAATTAAAATACTTTCGTCGAAACTTTAAAAAAATGTTCCTTTAAACTTTTTAATGCACTAGAATATTTGAAATAACTACACTCTGGATATAAACTTACAAGCGACGTTGAAGCATCCTCGATAGGTACAGTCAATATATAAACGGTTTCTGAGGCTCGTCAGTTAGCTTACATAGGAAGTTGTATGGAAGAGCGACTATTTGTATTCAATATTGACATTTCTAATCCTTCAATGCAAAATGCTAGAACTCTTAACGGTTTAACTTATATAATACATTGTTGATAGTTTCAATTTATGACTTCTATTACTTTCATAGATTTACGCGAATATGTGAACTTTTAAATAAAACTATCTTTTCGAAATGATTTCGCGGATTTATTTATTTTGATTTTTGGTTCCCAACGTTTCGGATACTTTATAGCAATCATTGATTGTCACGGGAGCGACTTTTTATGGCATTTTTATTACTTTTTTTAGCTCCGGAGAGAACGACTGCCTAGGTTATTTTTTTAATTTTGTCCAAATTCGAGTAGGACTTCTTATTCTACTCTTAGATATATATACTAGCGGCTCACCCTCGCTTCGCTCGGGTTCGCCTCTAGAAAAATACTAATATACTAATAGAGAGCTATTAGTACCCACGGGAACCGTTCATTTTTCCGGAATGAAAAGTAACCTGTTGCTTGACCGGCAATATAAGGTATCAGAATGTTAAATTTTACTAAATTAGGTGCATAAGTTGTTGTGTACTAAGCTATATAAGATACTATATATTTTTTAACTATCCCACGGGAACTCTTTAATTTCTGAAATTAAAACTATCTAAAATGACCGGGGATATACGGTACCACCATGCAAAATTTCATTTAAGTCGGTCCAACAATTTCGGAGATTAGCCCGTACAAACATACAAACAGACAAACTGACAAACAGACATACAGACAAGCAGCCAAACAGACAAATTTTTTAAAAGCTATTGTTTTGGGGTCTATATTGTGTACATAATACGTTACAAACAAACAAAAACAGATCTATCCCACGGAAACCGTTCATTTTTTGGGATAAAAAGCAACCTGTTGTTTGACCGGCGATATAAGGTACCACCATGCAAAATTTCATTTAAATCGGTCCAATAGATTCGGAGATTAGCCCGTTCAAACAGACAAACAGACAGAGAAACAAAAAATTTGAAAAAAATCTGGACTTGTCCTATTTGTCTTCTTACGTCCCCCTGACTCGGTTTTTTCCATTTTTTTGCTATGTACAGGCATTCGACCTCTACTCTTTTACTCGTATTATAGTATAGATATAGAGTGGTTGAAATACTTAGCGCCAATCCGACTCAAGCTCGTCGTTGTTGTTATTTTTTATAGTTAACACTACACACACACTCAGTAACATAAAAGATTAACTTTAAACAGAAATCCAAAAAAATAATTAAAATACTATATAATTAAATTTAAAATGTCATGTATATTACATATTTTGTTATTTTACCATGGTAAATGCGATATCTCATAGGATGAATTTGCATATCATACAATGACTGAAAATTATTTAGTAGGTCAAACAATAATTTAGTAGGTCGAACTACGTTATAATGTTTCGGCGAGACGAGACGAAAGGAATGAGCGCCGAGGGGTTGGAGTACGCGATCGATGCTTGCTAGTTTGATATCTACGCCCCTTATGCCCTCTGATGGTAAATATGTTTGAGCAAAAATGTCGACACGTCACGCACTCTCAGAATGCTTTGAACACACTTACAGATACTAGGTTGGGCGTAAAATATAAGTTCTTAAAGAAAACTATTTCTTATTGAATATATGTATATAATAATAACAATCTATTAATTTAAAATTACCTTCAGATACATTTTCTAAGTATGTCTTATGTTGAAAATAAATAAAGTAACTTAAATCCAATACTGGCTTTCGTTTTGAATCTATAATTTAACCTATATGTAACGATTTAACTCTGGATTTATTAAATTATTTAACTATAAATTCTTTATAAACACTACATAATTAATACTACAGCTACTAGGAAAACAAAAACAAATCCATTCCTCGGGAACCGTATATTTTTCCGGGACAAAAAGTAGCCTGTTTGACTGGTAATATAAGGTATCAGCATGCCAAATTTTACTAAATTAAGTGCATAAGTTGTTGTGTACCAAGCTTTTTAAGTTACTATAGTTTTTTAACTATCCTACGGGAACTTTTTAATTTCCTGGGATGAAAATTACTTATCTAAAATGTTGACCGGGGATATAAGGTACACCACCACCACCACCATACAAAATTCATTTAAATCGGTCCAACAGTTTCGGATATTAATAAGCCCTTACAAACAGACAGAAACAAAAAAAATGAAAAAAAAACTGGATTTGTTCTATTTTTCTTCTTAGATCCCCGTGACTCGGTTTATAGCGTTTTTTTTTCTATGTACAGACATTCGACCTCTATTTTATCCCTTTCAGAACGACAAAAAATATTTGGATTTCTGAAAAACTTTTGAGCAATTTTAAGATTATTGGCAGGTAAAATGACCAGGAAAAATAATTTACAAAATAAAAAATTCGTGGATAAGGGATAACTCATTTGAAGAAGTACGCTGAACAACATGCGCATCTCTTGTGCAGACATGTTTAAAGTTGAGCCTATTTCACGCACATTGTTAAAGTTAGTGGAAGTGGCCAGGTTATCGAAGAATTTACAATTGAAATATTGTTCTTAGTACTGCATTGGTGTCTTTACTTCTCTGGGTACAGGAGGAGAGAAGTAGTTATGAGGAATATCAGTAAAATTAGCAGCTTTCCGTATCCTGGAGCTTTTCTTTTGTGTTGTAAGACGTCTTGTGATTTCGGAGGTACTAGGATTTACAGGTGGTGGAGGTATGTTTTTTTGATCTAAGGTTAGTAGTTCAGTTAAGGGGATATTTGAATCTGAGCCACTGTCACTTTCGAAGTCACGTGGTTGATCATGTACTGACATATCTTCATCTAACAGTCGAGGTACAGAAATAGCAGGATCCCTCTCCTCCTCCGATATATCAAGATCGGATTGGGATCTATCTTTAAGAAATTCTTTCACTATATCGAAATCTAGAGGCCGACCTAGTGAATAGAAAATACGATATTAGTCAGCTTTTTAGAACAATAATGAACGGCAATGCACGATAGTGCATTTGAAATTTGAAGACGAGTTACAATATATATAGAACTAATATTTTTTCAAAATAAATTCAGGATAGCATAGCAATTAAACTTTTTATTAATACAAAAAACATAATGAAATTACAAGCTTAAAATGAAAAATTTATGTACTTACGTCGACCAGTGTTGTTAGCGAATACAACGTCCATCTTGAACGCGTCACAACACGTTACGCTTACTACTAGCCCAGCCCGAACATTATTAAAATGTAGCTAGATTAACGGACGAACGATCGGAACCGTTTGCGCTCGATGAAATAAAATTTTCCGTCTGATAAATTTTTTAAACCATAACGCACGATTAGTACTGTGCGTTCTGAAAGGGTTATTATACCTTTTATTATACCTACGTATATATCTATTCTAATAAATGGAGAGCCGATTTTTTTATTTGGTTATACTGCGATAACTACTGAACCGATCGGAATAATACTTCTACCATAAGATGCAGCGTGTTTCGGAGAAGGTTTTAGTATATGATATGTTGGTGATTAATGTACTACGCGGGCGGAGCCGCAGGAAAACGCTAGTATGTAATATACTACAAAGTGTAAAAAAGAACACTTTGTTAGAGATAAAGTAGGTCAAGGTCAACTTTCAGAATCTTGTACCAAATTAGGTGACGAATAGATTTGTTCGGTTAATAGCAGTGATATTACGGTAATTCATTGAAGTCAGTACATCTCATAAATTGTTTAAAGAGCTATATATATATATACCACCACCATTTTTTTGTAAAAAAAAATCAACTTCTTTCGATAAGTATCATAAATGACTAAATAACTCTGTAACTATTAACTATTGATAATGAACAATATCTGATCTATCCAATTTTCTTGCAAATTTGCACCATGTCTTTGTTTAATTATCGATATTTCAGTTCGTAAAAGCAAAAATTTGAAAAATAAATAATTGGAGCCTGTAACTTTTTTGTTATTGACGATATGAAAAAGTTGACAAAAACTTTTTTATAGGATTTTAAACGTACTACAAAATTGCCATTTTTCTGTAACTCTTACAGTTTAGCTAAAAAATGTAAAAAACCGTACATTTGAACTTCAAAGCTATATAACAAATCAAATATTGAAGATAGAAATTCGACTCAATAGATGTAAAAAATGTATATATATATATATATATATATATATATATATATATATATATATATATACTAGCAGTACCCGCGGCTTCGCCCGCATCCAAACTTCCAATCGCTAACAAAATGCACAGGATCACCTTGTAAGTGGGCTAATTTGAAGATTACCTGAAAATTTCATCAAAATCGGCCCAGCTGTTTCGGAGTACATAGGAAACATACATATCGATTTATATAGATTTTTTTTTATTTAATCAACAATTTGAATTTATTTATTACTCGAAAAATAGAGTCTTTTGTGAAAATTTTGTGACACACCGACTACAGCGTCACCTACTGAATCCATTTGTAAATTCAAAACTTGCAGGGACTCGACATGCACAAAAAATATCATTAAAATCGTCCCTGCCGTTTTGGAGATGATCAGTGGCACTACGACTGCAGAGCCACCTACCGGATTCAATTTAGTTTTTAAACCATCCAGGAGCCCATTGAAATATACACACAAAATTTCATCCAAATCGGTCTAGCCCTTTAGGAGGAGTAGGTTAACAAACACACGTACAGAAGAATTATATATATTAAAGAAATATTGTTTTAATATTGTTTTAATTATATTTTAAATTTTTATCTAATGAATAAACAAGATTAGATTATGAATGAATTTCATTTCTTTTTGTAATTACCTGAAAATCAATTTTTTCGGAAAAAATCAATAAATTTAACTCCAAAATCTATCAAAAAATAATAAAATATCGATAAATTGGAAAAAATAATAACATAAATAGATACTACCTTATTATTTAGTATATAATATATTTATTATTATAGTATATTATTGCTTTTCTTAAGAGCTTAACCTTTAAAATAATATAGTCACAGATAAAATATAAAAAAAATTAAGTATAAATTGATGTTACTATCTACCTGCATACCTTACATATTATATTTAAACATATTATATTTGATTTGTATATATGTATTAGCAGACCCCCGGCTTCGCTCGCGCTAAAAAAAATCTTTAAAAAGTTAGATTCATACAAACTTTCATCCCCCTTAGAGGATGAATTTCGAAAAATACTAAAACACGTATTTATTTAATTTTATTAAAAAGCATTAATACCGAGTTTCAAATAATTCTGATCATAAATATTTTTTTGGATTGTATTATATCGTGTTTTCCGGTGAGAATTAGATAATCTCCAGCGGTAAAAAATAGCCTATCTCATTCTCCAGCCCTCCAACTATCTCCACACAATCAAAATCACGCCAATCCGTCACTCCCTTTCGACGTGAAAGAAGGACAAACAAATAAACACACTTTCACATTTATAATATTAGTATGGATGTATACCTATTAGGGTAGAGCGTAATTCTTACTTCATTGCTTGGGAGTAGAATTTGTAGCTTATAAAAAAGACAAACTAAAATACTCAACATTTTGAGGTGGCCCAGTGATTTTTAAAATAAATAATTTAGAAACTTCTTTAGAATCGTTGTGATTTGAAACTCGATGAAACGAAAATGCGACACTTTTAAGAGCCAACCAAATGAATATACAGGACTAGCACTGCCCGCGGCTCCGCCCGCGAACAAAAACCAAATTCTTAGGTTTTACATATTAGTATACTGTTACAATGCAATTTTTGTATTTTGCTCAGAAATGAGATATATATATTCCCGCGGTGAAAAGTATCCTATATGTTGACCCGGATAACCAGCTATCATCATATTAAATTTCATCAAAATCTGTTCAGTGGTTTTCTCGTGATGCGACAGACAAAAATTCTAAAAACTACAGATTCGGAACTATATCTATAATAATGTCTATTTCAATAAGATTTTCCAAAAAATATTTAATGTAGAGATTCGGCTTAGTTACAATTTTATTACGAGTATATGTATAGATAAAGAATATGTCCTTCAAATTTCACGTTTCTATGACCAGCGGTTTAGGCTGTGCGTTGATCGATCAGTGAGTAAGTCAGGATAAAGCATTTTATGTATATATAGGTACATTTAATTAAAATGACAAATAGTGCAGTGCCATTATGCAGAGAAAATGAATATCATTTGTTCCCAAAAGACAAAAACTGAAGATATTGTGGGCTAAAGCAATAAGGGGACATCCATTAATTACGTGAGATAGTTTTGGTGACTTTTCGATCCCCCCTCCCCCCTTGTTAAGATTTCGTGAGATTTTGCTGGATCCCCCTCGTATAATCTCACGTAGGATGTTTTAAAATGTGAAAAAAATAACATTAATAATAAAACAATGGTCGTAATAAGTTATACTACAGATTTTTTCAGTGAAAATTATTAGTGCATCGTATGTTTATTACAAAAGGTTGCGGCATTACTTTTTTATGAATTATGTTCACATCGCACCGTAGGTATATGAAAAAAAATATTCATTCCAAAATAATTTATTTACAATTAATAAATATTTACTAATAGTTAATGAATATTTATTGAATGCTAAGAAATATTTGTTCATATTTAATAAATGAATGGTTTCCAAAAAAATGAATTTTTAATAGTTAAGAAATTCTTCTATCAGTGAATAATTTAACCGCAATGAATATTATTGTATATGATTTAGCCATATTTTAGTGCAGAAACATTTACTACTTAAATTAATCGAGTCTTCCATGTGAGATTGAGTGAGGTTTTGCTCGAACCAGGTATAAAAGAGATATCACAATAAATTGCTTAACCTCAGACTGAATGTAAATAGGCCATACGTGTGCTCCTTTCGAGGAATTTTCCCCATTTCAATAATTTTTTTAAAGAACAAAATAATTAATTATTTATTTTAAAAATTAGTGGACAACCTCCAAAATGTTGAGTAAATATTTTTTTCTTATCATTTTTATTTTATAAGATACAAATTCTAGCCCCAAGCTAAGAATTTTTTTTTCGATCCACCCTTTAATGTATATTGTATACATTTAAATATTATATACTTTTTATTTTTTTTATTTCTACGATATGAATATATTTAAATTGTCTAAACCTATTTCAAAGATAAATAAAATATGTGTGTGTATATGTAGTGTGTGAGTGATTAGACGCTTTTTGATACCATTCTTACTTTAAGCCATCAATAAATAAACTTTTAACTTCAATAGATGGAGTCAGTTTAAATCTATTTAATTTTTATTTACAACTATGTACCTACATACAAATTACTATGTACTACGTTCAAACGAGAACTGGGGAATGAACTATTTTTGAATTAAAAGGATTTTTAAATTTGATGTAGTTGATTGAACAATAGTTTTACAAAACGTAAAGGCTTCAAGAATTATTCGAATTTCCAATATTCATCGAGCGCTGCGCTGCTTTCACTGTATATTGCGTTTAATTGAGCCAGTTTAGATCAAAATGTTACCTAGAAAGGATTTATTCAATCGTCTGATACGGAATTCATTCGTTATTACGTGTATGAAATGTGAAGATTGTGCAATTTTCCTATTACATAACGAATTGCGTTTTACCGAATTCATGCGTTAATCCTTAACTATATTCATGAATGTGTTGCTAGTATATCAATGCTCTTTATAATGTTATTAGAATTGGAAGTGCGATATTTTTAGATTTTTTTATTTAAACTATCAAATATTTTACTAAATCTAGGTGTCTATATACCTAATTAAATATTTTTAAAGTCAGTGCCAGCAGATACACAAAACACACTGACTTCCAAAATATCTGATTAGGTACATGTATAGATAACTAATATTTTCGAAGTCAGTGTGCTTTGTGTATTGGTTGGCATAAGCTACGTAATAAATAACTTATTGGTAATTTTCATTTACTATAGAGTAAATAAATCTACCAATCAGTTATTTTTTACTTTTTAGGGGTTTTTTAGAAAGTTGGTTTTTATATTTGTTTTTGTTGGCCTGGCGGCTTAGTTAGTTCCTTTAAGTACTTATGTTTACATTTAAAATTAAAGCATTATCTATATTTATGGAAAACATAAAATTTATGTTCTATTTTATTTCATACTAGCGACTCACCCTCGCCCCGCTCGGGCTCCTCCCTACTTACATTTTAACGATCGATCGATCGATATCTTCGGTATCGATAATTATGTTTATTTCAATAGATATTTTCCAAAAAATATTTAATGTACAGATTCAGCTTAGTTACAATTTTATTATATGGATACCCAGATATATTTTATAATTTATGTTATGAACATTTAATGTTCTATGGATTATTTCTATACAACTAAGCAATTTTTTGTATAATATATTACATTTCTTATTTTACTTTTCTCCTACGAATATTATTTTAATTTCTGCCAACAGAAATGGAGTACACATATGAAGAAGAAGAAGGCAGTGATGTTGACAGAGAGTTGCGGCCGTTAGCTCGCCGGACGGGGAAACATATCGCCGCTGGGGAAGAGCGCCCTCGTATAAATTCTAGCCAGCAAACAACTCCCACAGAAGGTAAGCTAGATAGATATCTATTGATTCTTTAAAAGAGTCACATTATTTGAATTTATACTTTCGTATTTATTTAGTAGTATAATCGTGAAAACTAAACATTGAACACTAAAATTAATCATGCCAATAATAAAATATAAAGATAATAGTGGAAACATTAAAGAATATAATCATTATTGTTAATAAAAAAATATATTTTAAGTGGTTGGAGGACCCCCGTCAGGAATGAAGTTCCTCACACCTTTTCTTCAATTCCGAATGTAATTTGAGACAATGTGTCTATTGGCACAGTCCACGAATATAATACATTAGCATGGAAATCCTTAGTATATAATTAACACTCAAATAACATTAAATGTATGGAAACAGTAATACTTATATCAAAATATAAAAGTTATGTTCCGATAATCTAATTCACTTTTAATACAATTGTTAGTTATTGAAAAACGGCAAGATTACCGGACGCTAATGAGCCCCCCTACCATGACAAGGTGAACGCATATTGGGCACTTGTCTACTTCTGCCGCAAAGCGAGTGAAGAAACTTCGTTCCAAAAATACGTTGGTACAAAAACCCTAAATAAAATAAATGGAATACGTTGATTGATGAAATACCACTCCTCAGTCTACCTCACAGTGCCAAACTTAATAGTGATGATTGGTACATATGGAACTAGGTTATACTGATTGCTCTTTGACTTTTGACATCGGCGAATATGTCCAATAAAAAGGTCAAATTGAAATCCATTTCATTATTTTTCTCTATTACCATAATGTTATAATGTTAAACACTTGAGACTTACAGTCCCCTTCCTTCGCCTCCTTTTTTAAGTGACATATATAAAGACCCATTTTTATTTTGTTACAGCTTTTTGCCGGCGGCTACGGTCACATAGACTAAAAAAATGTTAGGTTTTAATTTCCATTGAATTTATATGTTGTCCTATAGAATAGAATTTGTAGTATTACACACATTTAGAGTGATAACATTACATTTATCTGATCACTTAACTTAGTCCACTATAAAAAGTCGCAAATAAAATAGAATTTTATTAATAACTTCTTAATATACCACAATAGCGGATGTTCTGTCTGGTTCTAGGTTCTGCTAAAATTTCCATTTCAGAAGCAATCTTCTTCTTCTCCCTGCCCATTTCCCAATCGATTGGGGCCGGCGCAGTACATCTTCTGTAATGCTGATAGGATTTGGCAAAAGTTTTACGACTGGCCGCCTGCCTGACGTCAACCCTCATTGGCAATGCTATTGTCTCTCTTTGTCTGAATGGTATCGCGGAAGTCTTGTAATATGCACTTTCGATTTTTTTTGTCTTTTAAAACATTTTTATACTATTACTTATATTTTAATGTTATTTTCGGATATACTTTAAATTCTGATTACACAATAAATTTTGTTTTGACGTTCCATTTCAGAAGCAATGCTCTCACTTAAGCCAGTGAGTGCTACTTTCAACGACTGGACCTGAGATTTATTAATTGGTCATTGCAAAGCAAATTTTAAGGATAAATTACAATAGATTAAATCAAAGGCGTAGTCAAAGGTTATCAATGGCACTCGAAATCTGAATAATCTAAATGCTGATTCCCCCGAGCACATCCAGCAAATACAGTCGGCACTATAATGTTTTATGGATTATTTGCAGTCTAGTCCCGTCATATAACTTAGGTGACCTATTCATTACAGGTCTAACTTTCAGAAGGAGTGTATAAGAAAGGAGTCTTGGTGCATTAACACTGCTAAGCAACTCTGTTAAGGATATTGAACTGCTTCATCCATTTGTATCACTGTATCGATAAACCTAGATTCTATTTCTGACTCTTCAAAGGACTTAAGAAAAACAAGTGCTTTTAAGTAGCACTTGTTTTTGGGGGTCAGTGTAGCTAGAAGCGAAGACTTCGTTCCTATATTAGAAATATCAGGATACACTCTAGCTGGGTTCTCCCTCTCTCTCTCTCGCTCTCTACGTCTGTTATTGTTGTTCACTTCATATTACTTTCTTTGAGTTCGTAATAATCTTTGTTTTCTATTTTATATCCCACACAGCAGTGGCGAAGGGTCCATACAATACATTTATTTTTGCATCTTTTTCCTGAGATTAGTGCGTTCAAATAAACAAACTGAGTCTGCCTCTGTTAGAATTCATCTCACACTACCTACAGTTTAAAGAACCATTAGTCAAGCGCCACCACCCCGTATATAAACACGAAAAGATATTCTTCACAAAGGTATTGAATCTATTTTGATATAGTGCTATAGAATTTTATTCAATCAACTAGCGCTAAATGGCACTGCTCGTTGAAAGTAAAGAATTTAATCTAACTCACGTGTCTGTAACAAACGAATATAAAAATATAAGAGATTGTATAACATATTTATACTTTGCGTTTTTTATTTACTAAATCACTTATGCGCTTCATGTTGGTTGGATTTTCAATTTATTTTGCTTTAAATTGTCTGTGCTGCAACCTTATTACTTTTTATAGAAAATTTATATTTTTAAAACGTTGACTTAATCTTTTCTAAATCGACAGACTGGTTTAGTACATCAATGATCAAGCCCCTTTTGAAAAAATAGAATTTCCACTATCGATATCAAATAGGCATTTTACGATAGTCGGAAAATTTGATTTTCTGTAGACTGCCGGACCAGACGGAAAAATAGGTCGGAAATTGTAACTTAAAATGACGAGTTTGTATATAAACGCCATTTCTTTATTTAATCCTCTTATCGGATAAACTTTCAAAAATTCTGTTTTATTTAATCCTCTTATCGGATGAACTTTCAAAAACCTGCTGTAGTATATCACTGCATTAAAAATGTTGCATGGATGCGGGCCTCTCTTGAATGAAGGATCAGTATCATAGCTCACCACACTGGTCAAGCGCTGTAGACTTCCCACGACTTTGGAAAACTAGTTTGGTTCTTTCAGATTCGCGAGTTTGAACCGGTTTTATCATGACTTTACTTTTCTTTCTGTATTAGCGAGTAGCAAACATTTTAAGTATCTTTCGCAGCTGAAAATTTCAGAGATGCGAGACTCAAGTTAATATCCGCTTCATAGGCTTTTTCAAGAGATTGCTTTACCGATATTTTGTTGGTTCGTACAAAATTCATTAAGTTGGAACCATGTTACTTAGAGAACGCTATGCGTTTTTAAATTTCTAGCCCTGATACCTAATTTAACATTATATACTTAAAACTAGACAAGAAAAAATTATATTCGCGGCTTACTTTTAAGCTTGCGGCAAAGCTGCAACCTGCAAACGCTTGTAACTAATTTCTTACATTTCAAATTCCTAAGTAGCTGGTGGCTGTTGATTAAATATCGTTGATGCAAAATAATAAAAAAAAAGATTATTTTTCTTCGACCATTGACCCTAACTGAATCATCATTGCCCATATCAAACCACTGGATCTGAAGGACTTAAATATTGACTTCTATTAAGGCTACCTACTGTCTTATTAGAAAATCGGCAAAGCTCAGGCGCGCTATGTTGTTAGCTTTAATACTTTAAATATAAAAAAGTAGAAATTTAATACGTTTCATTCCTCAATTAAAAAAATGCAATTAAACTTCCTTAGATATTAAACACGCTAAAAGTTCATAAAATCCGTATTGGCCATACCGACGGCATCGATGAGATGCCGGTATTAAACGAGTCTTTAAAATTGATCAATCTTTAAAAGCCGCTTTGTTAAAGAGTTTGCTTGAAGTTTTATAACCACCATCTGCTTTCAGTCGGCCTTTTATCTTACTATAAATCGATGGAAGTTGAATTTAAATGTTACATAACTCTGAATTCTTTAGAATTAACAGTAAATGAAGATGAATGAAAATTTCTTGTTGTGTTGTTTTTTTGTAACTTGTTAACTTATGTATTTTAAAGTGGACGAAATAAATATGCTTTCTGTTAAAGTCTTTGCTTTGGTCACCACAAAAAACGTATCAAAATCGTTTTGGTACCAAAACTAGTATTATTCTAACAATTATAGAAATTAATAAATAAGTCCTCGATCAATAAAATGATATCTTTAAAGAAAAAAATAATAAATACTGATTTTAAACTACTTTTTTGTTAACTTAGTGGTATTTTACGTTTACACGTTAGCAATATAGATACAATGTCACAGACACAAAGACAGAAATTGGTGACAATCTTATAGATTATGCTTATATGTATCGGGCTAAAAAACAAAGAAAAAGAGTTGCAATATAACTAATCGATTGGAATTGGAGTGCAACGAATTCCGCACAGAAGTTACAAATTTTATTTACTATATACCTTCTTTTTAAAAAAAAAATACGTCAGGAAAACCCTGTTCCCGGTACCCGCTCGCCAAATGGGGAAGTGAGGCGGGTTATGTGGGGCTCCTGTCCCGCAAAGTAGGCAGGCGCGCGGCAGCCTACCCACTAAAAACCTGACGAAAAGGCCACCCTGTGGCCACAAGGCTAGGGTCACAGGTATCCGTATTCCTCAGTAGACCCCAGCTGCGAGTGCCTGTTAAGGCCCATCTCTGTGTCAGGGGCTAAGATGTTAGACGCCCCTGACGGCCTCTTCGGCCAGATTAGTGGACGGCCGACCTCCCCAAGTCGACCGCCCTCTGGCCTTCTGATCGCCCACCGAAGTGGGCCACCATAATACCGGCACTCCTCTCCCGTCGCGGCTCTCCGGCCATCGGTTGCGAGCCTGCCATCGCAGTCCTGCGTCCGGCCCCCATCACCCGGTCGTGGTACCGCTTTTTTTATGCTATTAGATATTCGTACCTTAAAGTATTGTCCGCTGGCACCGCCTTCGAAAATATCTGATTAGATATCTATAGTATATGAAAGACGCCGTTCTTTTTCAAATTTTAGTACCTGGAATTCAGTTTTTATATTTCTTTTTTCGTTTTTATTTATAATTAGCGAACAGCCTCGATACTGCCCAGATGTAAAGTGACATACATTTGATATTGCTCACTAATTATACAATATGCGTATCTG